AGAAAACGCGCCTCTTTTGTGTTCATAGAAGAGTAGTCCACAAACGGCCGCTCCCCCACACGAGGCATATCTTCCTTAACAACGCCACGATTGCCTTCGAAGGCCAAAGGAAGAAGCGGGTAACCCATTCCCCGCGGAAGTCTCGCAAGGGCTCCGGACGGAGAGTCCCCCAAATGGCCCAGTCTCCCATTTGCGCTCCCGGCTTAATTCTCCTTCCTCCGAACCAAAGCTTTAGAGAAGCCCTCTCCTTTCGGATGTTGTCTCTAACGTACAAAAGGAGGTCCGTACCCCATTCAAGTTTGGCTCCAGAGAGCGGCAGGGAAACAGTTCATTTTTTTCGGGAAAGCAATTTTTCGGCAAGACACAATTTAAAGCCTTCTACTGCCCCCCTCAGATGGCTTCCTTCAAGTCTGGCATTCGAGTGTCCCCCCCATCTTGTCTTGCGATTCAGGAGGGACCAAGATTTTTCCGTCTTCCCCAAGGGCAGACAGGCAGAGGTCAATCCCCGTTCCTGGGACACAACTTCGAGATCCTAGACGACCTCTACACGCTCTGTGAAATGATCGACGAACGCCTCTCGCGTGGAAATCAGTCCTGATCCACTGCCAGCTAGGCGTCAGTCGCTCCGCCTCGCTTGTCATTGCCTACGGACTCTACAAGCACAGACACCTGGACTTTAACTCCGTCTACAGCATGGTCAAGTCCCGTAGTCGCTGGGTAGGGCCTAACATGAGCCTCATCTACCAGTTGACCGACTTCCGATCCAAACTACAGGATAAGAGCAATAAGAGTAAACAACCTGCCCCAGAATGGCTTGACAGCCCTGTCGTCCAGGAGAAAGCACCGCAGCTCCCTCTCCCATCGTCCTCGCCGGCATTCAAGAAACCCTCCCTCCAGAGCCAGACAGGTTCAAACACAGGATTCAGTTTCTTCTCGCACAACCCGTTCAGCCTTGCTCGCCTAACCACCACCAGCAACCACAACAACGGCCCCTCGTCTAAACGCAACAATGTCCTGCCTCGTCCCTTACCCCTACGAGAAAAGTACCAGACCTTCCACGCTTATCGTCGCTCCAACTCCAGCCCTCCTCCAGAAACCCTCTTCCCAAGCAACTCGTTCTTCCAGCCGCCGAATAAAAATCCACATGGCGAAACTGACGTACAAATGGCTGATCACTCCGTGCCCTCCACCACCCTTCCAGACGAGTCGACGATCTTCTCTCCCAAAAAGACAGATCAGTTCGTCATCGCTTCTCCTTTCTCTCCAGGTATTTTCTCTCCTGGCGCTCCCGCTCAGCCCCCCGCCGCCAGCGGTCTAGGTCTAGCAGGTGTGGATTCGGTTCGCAAATCTCTCGAGGCCAACCAACCAAGGGCACCAATGAACCGACCGACGGTGATGTACG